GATAGCTTTCCTTACCGTCTATTCACAAGGACATATAACTAACATATCGTCCATGCTATTCCGATCTGAGTTTTTATTCATACATAGTCTGGCGTGGCTGGTGCTGTTCCAAGTTGTCTTCTTTCTCTGCATGTTTCTTGAGAAGTATTTGTTTGACCTGGTCAGTCACTATAAAGTGTTACAATTCATATTTAGACGCATCACATCAATAGTGACCAAAAAGGTACCGCTTTCACATGTATGACTTGAGAGAATCTAGAAAAAAAATCATATGTACACATAATTTTTCAACATTTTTGTGGGACTATCATATAAAATTAAGACGATATGTAGTTGGAGACTGCTGCTGAATAGAAATGTTCGGGCTCACCTGATACCTGTTTTCAAATTAGTCCATATTAAAGTTTGAAGGGTCCAAAATTAAAATATGTTTGATTTCAACTGACATCAAATTTTTGGTGTTTTTTATATGCTAAATATACATCTGCGGTTGTATTAGGTTGTGCTTGGCGAAGTATTTTATTGCTTTTTTGTTTGTACTTTATTTTATTTTGGTCATGAAAATTAAGTTGTAGACTGTAGTTGTGAAATTGATTACATTTTTAAAAGATAATAATTAGATAACTTCACATGGTGACAACACTGACGTTTTCATAGATTTACTTTTGCCCGGGAATGCTTCATCTGTTGATATATTCTCATTGTGAACGATTTGTGTATATTTAAATATATTAACCGATGTTGACAGACATGTATAATTTCAAATCATAACAATACAAATTGTTTAGTCTCAAAGAAAACTGGTAAGATTTCCGCAGTTATTTTTGTTGAATAGGTGCAAATTGGGTACTCAGTGCAATTTGGGAACTGTGACGTTATAGCCGTAAGTGTTTATTGCTTAAATAGGTTGAAATGTGCACATGATAAAAGTATTCAGTAGAGGGAAAATGTTTTGATCAGGTTTAAACTGACGCATAAAATATACAGGCGACTGCGGGAGGCAATTATTTTAATATATTGCATCCAAATAATGTGTCGGCAGCTTGAATTTCAAAGGATGTAGCCCACATACTTCCAAGTAACATGCTCTATACCTATCAAAAGTCATGGTATTATCATAGGTTATCATAACTCCATCTTCCCATAAAATCCTATTTTGGACAATACACCTTATCGCTATTTGTCCGCCATTACTGGACATCACACAGGTTGCCGTAAAATTTTGACGTCATAATACAAAATATCTGACGCCACAATGGAAAAGTGATTGTTGTATGACGTCAATAGTTCAAGCGGGACAGATTCTCGGGTCAGCCGGGAATAGCGATAAGGTGTATATGGGTGCATACAATATATATATGTACCTATATTGTATCACTCAGACTCAAGTCTCCTTTACAGCTGTTTTATGATTAAACTTAGAGAGTGAAAAAAAAACAGTCTCCATCTCCTGGAACTGTTTAAGGTAGATATGTCTCATAATTAATGACAAGATTTTTTGAGAGTTTGTCAATGGAAGTACAGTCTACAGATAGTGAATTTGAATATATTTTTTTTTGTTTAAAACTTTTGTTTAGTTTTGAATTTTACCTGCATTTGTCTGTGAGCTACAGGAATAACCGTGATCACATTCAACAGCATAACCAACTTCATTATCACTGTAACTTGATATGGGAAATTCTGTAGCAGATGAATAATAGTAGTCATGGTCAACCAGAGGCAGAGCGCCGGATTTTACTACCTCTGGCTACGTTTCTCCCGAAATTTATTGCTTGCAGAGGGTTTTTCTGTGTTCCCATGGCTGGACGGAACTTTTTCACTACAAATCTTATCATAAATTATGATATTGTAACTTTTAAATGAAGTACCTGTGGTTATTTAGGACATTTGTCACTGATAATGGAAAGATGAAGCAGACGATGAAACATGGCGTAAAATGTTGTTGTCCAATCTTCGGTTAATTCCGTGGTACAATAAAATTTAAATAAACTACACAAGTTACTAAAATTTCTAAATTCTTGTTTTTGTAAACAAATAAAAATTCATGTCGTATTTAACATCGAATTTATTCCGTTTTGTCCCGTTTTTTCAAGATCGCGATTAAACGAGAATCTGGCAGCCATTAAAAATATAAGGGTTAAACTAATGTCCTGACAATGTCCTGACGGATATTCCAATGCTAATTTCGTTGTCATTATTTGAAGAATTGACTTTATATTGGGAGCCAATCAAGAATACAATATTAATTTAATAAATATAAGGGAAAAAAAAGGAAAAACATTTTTAAGAGTTAGATAACTTGACTTGATCAACTTCGAAATTTAAAAAAAAAAAAAATCGTACGAGATTTAACGAGAGTGACGAAACTTTTTAGATTGATCATGTAGATATAGTTATCGTTCTTTATTCCAATTCGATGCTTCTACCATAAGCTAAAGCTGTCATCTTAGAAACACTTCAGTGAGGATATCCTTCCATTTTATTGCTTCACAATTTTTTTCTTTGGCTTTTTCTTCAAATACGTTTACGGTTTGACTAAAAACTTTATCGTCCTACTCCTCAAACATAGTTATTTTTCATTTATTGTCATAGCTGTTTAGGAATTATGGATCAAAAAGGATCTAACAAAAACAGTTTTCTGTCAGATTCACAGATAAAAACTTGGTATAAGTGTAGGGATCTCTATTAAATTTAAGCACAAGGTTCCATACCACAAAAGGAAGGAGAGGTTAGGATTTATTTTGGGGTTATTGTCGTAGCTGTTTAGTAATTAGGGGTTAAAAATGGGCCAAAACAAGCATTTGTCATGTTTCAGGACAATAATTGGTGTATAAAAGTATAGATTTCTATGAAATTTTACCACAAGGTTCCTTACTTCGAAAAAAGTTTTGATTGATTTTTGGAGGGTCATGGCCCATACCGTTTGATAATTAGGGACCAAAATGAGGCAGAAAAAAAATATTTTTCTGATTTGCAGACAATAACGTTTGTAGAAGTTTATGGACCTCTATTAAATTTTAGTACAAGGTTCCTACCACAATAGGAAGGTTGGGGTTAACTTTAGGGGTCATTTCAGTAGCTGTTTACAATAAGGGGCAAAAAAGGGCGTAACAAAAACAATTATTTGTCTGGTTCCGAGTGGCAAAATGCACCGGAAGCTCACAACATCATACCAAATTTCTCATTTTTCAGCACAGGGGTGGTGGCAGGAATCGCTAACCTCCCGTTTCCCTACGGCAAAGTTCTTGACCCCAGGTAGTTAGATTGAAAGCTTATATCCATATCTTCAGCTCATATGAATACCTGGATGGGAAAGTGCACCTGAAGATTTCACTGGCCACCCAAAGTCTAAGTTACCTATCAATAACGGGTATGGGCACATTTTTCAGTCTTTGTGTACAGTTTCCTACGGCAAAATTTTTATCCACACCTAGTGGGATTGAAAGCTTGTCCCAGGCCCTTTCATTCATGAAAATGCCCGGGTGTGAAAGTGCACCGGAAGCTCACAACAACATACCAAATTTCATATTTTTCAGCACACTGGTGGTGACAGGAATCGTTATCCCCCCGTTAACCTACGGCAACATTTTTGACCTCAGGTGGTTAGATTGTAAGCTAATATCAATAACTTCAACTCATATGAATACCTGGGTGGGAAAGTGCACCTGAAGACTTCACTGGCCACACAAAGTCTAAGTTACCTATCAATAACGGGTATTGGCACATTTTTCAGTCTTTGTGTACAGTTCCTTACGGCAAAGTTTTTACCCACACCTAGTGGGATTGAAAGCTTGTTCCAGGTCCTTTATTCATGAAAATGCCCGGGTGGGAAAGTGCAACGGCCCTTTTATACAGTAGGGTAAAACAAATAAGTATTGCCCTAATTTCAAATATTGTGACAGTAATTGTTTGTCAATTATACATTAACCTTACTTCTGGAAAAACTCAACATACCTTTATGTGCGCACTTGTTCCCGGAAATTTGGAAGTTCAAAAACAGGTACTAGGCAAAATCTCAGCAACAGGGCAAATATGCCCTGCTTTTATAATTTCTTTTTTTTATTATTCAAAAGAGACTTTCAACAATGGTCCTTAAGTGATCCCAAGTGATTAAGCTTTCATTTGATACCAAAATAAACCAAATATATTTCTTATTGACAAAGTTTTAGCTATATGCGTAGGAACTATTTTGTTTGAAATATGTACTACTTTCTTGTATGTTCTTTTTGACCGGGCCGATACAGTAAGTCTTTACCTAAAGGGTTTTAAGGAAATACACCATATTTGAGGATGCCTAGAGTATAGAAAGCTGTTATATGATTTTATCAACCGCATATAGCGTCTTTCTTGTTCAGTTTAACTTTTTATTTGTCTCACCGTAAATTGACATCTAGACTATAATACTGTACTAAGATTATTTTTATATGTTCTACAATACTCAATACACCTCTGAATCTTGAGGCTTGGTTAAGCCGTTATGTACTAAGATGGCCTTTTATTAATTCAACTATACTATATGCAGTTAGTGTTACACGTTAATAGTTTAAAGTATCGCAAACAAATAACATTCCAGATACTTTTATTTTATTTTAACTTGTTTTGTTTTTGCTTTTTGTTTTTTTATTGTTTTTTTTTCTTTCCTTTTCGGCAAGGAACGAAGATCTCGATTTCATATAAGTGTATAATGCCATGTAATATAAAATCTTCAAATAGTGAACTACTGATTTAAAGCATAAACCTTGAGCAACCACGCTACTAATGTTAATTGTTTGAAAGATTGAATTCCAAAGTAAAATTTATACAAAATTAATTACTTTATCCTTTCTAAAAAGTATATGTATTTATTCTTCCGTCCCCTATTTATTGCAAATGTAGACATATGTGGTCCATTAAACATTTAAAAGCGATATATTACGTATCAGAAGAACGTTGTAGCATAATGTCAATTTGTGATTTTCGGACATATCTCTGTAAGGTTCTCTAACGTGTTGATTCTCATTGTTAACTTTAGTGGTCGATAGAGTTGGTCGCTAGCTTGATTGGTCGCTGGAATTGGTCGCTAGCTTGTGTCTGGTGTACTCTGTAAGAATGGCCGTATAAAATAGAAAATACGTACTAGAGATATATATGTATTAAGATGATGATAAGCAATTTGTTAAATAAAAAGAAACCTCCAAGGATTGTAATATACACTCGAAGATGGTGCATTCTCCTGTTTTTTTCATTTAACTGTATAACACAGACTATAATATGGAATACATGGGGACCAATTGCACAGTCGGCAAAAGCTGTATTCCTATGGAATGATGCAACCGTCGGAATGATAGCTAACTGCAGTAATATATCGACTTTATTTACAGTTATCCTTGCTAGCTATTTTATGGATTATAAAGGTATTTAATGAATCTATATTTAGAACTTGGTCATTCTAGTAGGGGATGTAATTTAATATACACCAGGTATTTTAGAATATATTCCGGGCAAAATCAGAACTGGCACTATCAACTATGAAGAGTGTTCTGGATTTATCAAATTCCAAAAAGTCTGAACATTTTCACAATTGTCAAACTATGTATGTAGATAATTTCAGTCATGAATTATTACACTATTTTTTTCTTATCTTTCGTACTATAAAGACGATGTAAAAGTTTTCGTTAGTCTACTCTTTTTTCCGGTATGGCGTGCATGTATTCATTCAGCTGCTTATACATGTAAATTCTGTTTTTTTTCTGGTAAGGCCTGAAATATAGATTTCGAACACATGTAACAGAAGTTATCGATTCTGGGTTATTTCCTGTCGTTTTTTAAAAAGCCAAAAATGATATTGGTGACATTGTCAGGTGAACAATCTCGAATAGCGGTAAATATGTATTTGTTACAATGATTTGCACTATGCTACAATTATATACACATCTTTACAATTTACAGTAAAGTAAAGAAAATATACCAGTTACATTTTGAACGATATACTCTACTGGTAAATGTTTATCTGTGTAATTATTGAAAATCGAATTCGTCGAAATAAGAACCACTCTAATTATTCTTTATTACCAAAAAATCTCTTAAGGGTATTTTTTGAAACTGCTTCCTCTCACGCAAAACGAAAAAAAAACCCCCCAAGTAATATCCTATTAAAACGACATGTATGTAAAAGTTGTTGCCACAAGAATACAATGATTAAAAAAGATTCACAACTAAGTACAAGAAAGTTAATTATGACAAATCTGTCATAGATTTTCTTAGGAACATGTCTCACTTTTCCGACATATATGCTCAATATTAACACTGCAGAACTATGCTCATCCCCAATGTAAGGATCAGTCGAGAGAACTATCATACGTAAAAGGTTTTTGACTGTGGGTGTTACGGAGTGCAAATGAATGTATAGCTTATTTGATGTGCACTCTTTATTGTATTTATTTTTTTAAATCAGAAATGCAGAAAGCCAAAATGTATGAACACTTAGGGGCTATTTAAACAAAAGGTGGATTAAATGAATAGCTGAAGACTTTTAAAGTCATTTTTTTCCGAAGGACATGTAAACGTCTATTTTATAAGGTAACAGTAGTCATCATTTTTTTTAAATGTACGCAGTCCTCATGCTGTGGCACCGATAAGGTGGAAGTAAATCAGATTCAAACGTTTCAAATTTATATGCATCTATTCTTCCTCAATCAGGCGTTTGATGCGCTTCCCATTCTTCTTTTGGTCAGTTGTAGGTTAAGATGACGAGAGAAAACTCGTGTACATGTTTGTCTTGTTAACAACCCAATATTTGGATTTTACACCAATAAAATGATTTTTTGGTTATTCGTCTTTCTTTGCATTTGAATGAAAATCAATTGAATTATTACTTATCACGAGGTAATTATGATCCACTAAAATTGTTTATAAAATATGCAAGGTATAATAAAATTTGATATGTTATGCCTTTCAAAGCTAAATTATCGCTATCTCCATATATTAGATACAAATTATCAATACCAAAAATAGATTGATAATAACAACACAGGTCACATGTGTTTGTACAAAATGTGTGAATGTAAAGCAAAATGAAGAAAACTCACTTTGTTGTAATTTTCAACAATGGAAGAGACTCGTCCGTTAATTCGCAATCAGAATGTTACTGTTTTATATACAAGGAGGTGGTGGGTGTTGGCTGTTTTTTCATTTAGTTGTTTAATGCAAACTTTAATTTGGAACACGTGGGGACCTTTAGCACAGTCTGCTAAAACAGTGTATGGGTGGAGTGACGGGACGATAGGCTTGATACCAAGCCTTGGTAATATAGCTTGTATGTGTACAGTTTTGTTGAACTGTTATTTTATGGACGAAAAGGGTATGTACTAAAAACTAATTGTCGCTTATGCTATACATATATCAATCTTTTCTTTTATTCTATTACATCTAGCCCCGAATAAAGGAATCTGGTTGACATTAAAATCTGCTGTGCTGTTTTACATTGTATCGACATGACGTAGAACAATCTAGATCGCCCTCTTGGAGCTTTGATTACTTTTTTTCACATCTTCATCATCCGCTAGGGTTACATTACATTAGAACTATTCTTTTTTGACTGCCTGTTAATTTACTAAAATGTTTGAGAAATTATGCACTTGACTAGGGATGCATCTTTTTAAATCAGGACGATCGGAACCATTACGTGATGAAAATAGGAAATTCCTTCCAGTTCAGTTTTCTAATAAAAGAATCGATGCTATCAACAACAGCAAAGTTCTTCTTCACAAAGAGGTAACATCTAAAATACCACATTATTTTGAAAATCAGTCTATTCCAACAGTTACACCAAAACCATTGCACCTAAAGTATTTAATTATATGCAAGCATTGCAGAACCTTGATTTAGAAGATTACATAAAAACCCTCTGACATGTGACTGTTCCCACTCGCCTTATATTTACAGCTGCTCTGGCCATTTTATTAATGGGGATCTAAACATAATTCAACATGAACATCTCCGAAAGGTGATATCTCATGGTCCTAGTTCAGAGAACCCCAACACATCAATTGGAACCATAACTTCAAAATAATTATGGATTCCATTGAGGACTACGCCAGAGCATTGGTTAAACGAAAAGAAGTTGAACTGGACACTTTGTCAGAATGGGTTAAAGCAATCAGGTCTCTAATAAAATGTCTAATCCCAAAGTTGAATGATCGACCAAAGTCCGTATTCATAGACAAAGAAGCTGTGAAATGTCTATCATCTCTTCACGATAAATATGTTGTTCCTGTGGACAAAGCTTCAAATAATAATGTTTTTGTATGTAAATCTTACTACTACGAGTGTCTTGTAAACGAATTAGGAGTAAATTAGCACTCAGGTAATCCCACATACAAAAACATATCGTTCGACAAGGATTAGGTTTTGGCGAATAATAAGTCCTTCATGACTTCGGTGAACATAACATTGAACAGCAAATCTGAGGTCTCGCCTTATTTGTATTGGATACCTAAGCTTCACAAAATTCCGTACAAACAACGGTATATTGCCGGCTCATCTGCATATTCTACAAATGAATTGTCCATTAGATTGACAAAAATTCTGCCCGCAGTGAAAGAAGGTCTTCAGAAATACTGTGAAACTGTTAAGTAGCGTAGTGATATTAACCATATGTGGATTCTAAAAAAACTCTAGAGAACTTCTGAATAATTTTAAAACACGATTTTTCTCTGAAATTAATTCTATCAAACCTTTTGGTTTTCCAACAGTTTATGTTTAATGGAATTTGATGCGACTGTCATACAAGTGAGAGATTTAGTTAGCTATAAAACCAGGTTCAATCCTACATTTTCTACATAAGAAAATGCCTGTACCAAATCAGGAATATGACAGTTGTTATCCATTCGTTTGGTGTGTTTGAACTTTTGATTTTGCCATTTGATTGGGGACTTTCCTTTTTGAATTTTCCTCGGAGTTCAGTATTTTTGTGATTTTACTTTTTATACCACCATTCCTATGTGAAATTGAAAAATCGTCCAAAAGAAATAATCCACAATGCTTTTCAATATAAAAATGGTAGCATACGCTATAAATGTATTGTTTTGGGATATCATACGGTATTTTTTGTTAAAAGTGAACAAAAAGGTAAAACATGCTACACAGAAGAACAAGTGATCAGTATGCTGGTGTTTCTTATTGACAACATATTTGTTGAATTTGGTGGTAGACTTTTTCAACAAATTGTAGGCATTTCTATGGGAACGAACTGTGCACCTCTCCTTGCCGACCTTTCCTTATTTTCATATGAGTCGAAGTTCCTTCAGACACTTATCAAAAACAAAAAAATCAAAGTAGCCAGATCATTTAATTGCACATTCAGATATATTGATGATGTTCTTTACATTAACAATCCAAACTTTTTGATTGGGTTCCATTAATATATCCTCCATAACTAGAAATTAAAGAACAGACACGGCTTCCTCTGCCTCATTTTTAGACTTATACTTCGAATTTGACATACGTGGTCATCTCAGTACCAGATTTTAATTTTGAAATTAGGAATTTACCCCACCTTAGCAGCAATATACCAACTTCAGCTGCATATGGGATATACATTTCCTAACTCGTTCGGTATTCAAGAGCTAGCAGCTGCTACTCAGACTTAATAAAACATCCCCAGTGTCTGAGAAGAAAGTTGATGAACCAGGGGTATATCAGAGAAGGTCTCGTCCTTTTTCTAAAAAAAGTTCATCGGAAGATAACAAGACCTTGATGATAAATATTCCGTATTTACTTTACAAATAATACATGATGGTCTTGAAGTATAGATTCTAGGTACTGACGTTATTTATCATCTTAATAACGTGTTATAGTGTTCTTTTTATTTGTCTTTATATAATTTTAACCTTTACTATTTAGTCCATTTTTGGTAATATCTTTTTGGTGTGGCTCGGTATTTATACATCCGCCATTATGTTATTGAGCTATGGTCATTTTTTGACTTCTTGTCTTTCATTTTTGATTATGTGCTTTGTCTATAGAGTGTCTATATGTAATTTTGTGTTCTTTGTTGACATAGTTGTTTGTTTTTATAGTGATTAAGATTATAACACAATGTTGACTACTGTACCCAAATTTTTGACATTTTTACCTATTATGTCTGTTTGTTTTGCTCACACTTTGTTGTCAATATAATGAAATTAGATGCAACTATCATACAAATGAGAGGTTTAGCTAGCTATAAAACCAGTTTTAACCCACCATTTTCTACACAAGGAAATGCCTGTACCAAGTCAGGAATATGACAGTTCCTTTCCATACATTTGATGTGTTTGAGCTTTTGATTTTACCAATTGATAAGGGACTTTCCGTTTTGAATTTTCCTTGGAGTTCGGTATTTTTGTTATTTTACTTTTTATTATATTTAAAGGACTTCGAATCTCAACTGTATTATGTTCTGGTTTGATATTTGCTGCTGCTGGTCTTAGATGTATTACTAGTGATCCGGAATACGCTACCGGGTAGGTTTTTATAAGAACGACACGTAATTTTTATTTTTTATGAATTTACCTTAAATGCTGTATTAGGACATATATAGAATTTTGACAATGTTGGCTTTATACCTTGAAAATCTGTGAAAACGATTGATTATAGATTAATCTGATTGCATGGTTGTTAATCCTTGGTACATGTTATTTTAAAATTGTCTGATACCAGTTTTAAAAAAATTGATCTGATTACTAGATATTGACTAAAGATATAATGGTTCATATGTGACTTAATGATCGCTACACGAGTTACAGTCAGGATTCTATTCCGTCAAAATTATCTCCCTACTTCGCCATCCATTTTTTATAATAGTGAAATGGAAGCCATTGTAGGGATAAAGAGCCGTCGATTTAGCTCTTAAAACCGATAAATTTATTCACATATCATCATCACGATTCTAACATGCCAGTTGTATTTTAAAAGAAATATTATCTACTAGCTATTAAGCATCAATTAACGTAAATTTAGGCCTTATGTCAATTTAAAACTATTATCTGAACGGTTGTCAGGGGGAATTCTCAAAAGTTCAAAAACACTTATAATTGCGTGAAATTGCAGACTTTAAATTTTCAAAGGTTGAAGACTAAATACCATGGATAACACACACACAAAATGAAATTGTTTTGAAATTATACAAAAAAGGAAGATCCACAAATAAAGTCTGTCGTCAAGGGCGTTAAGAAAAAAACAAATAAGGGGGTGTTAGTGAACGGTGTGTCCGACTTTTTTTTTAGTACATTTCATTAATAGAATAATTAATATGCCTAATTTTTATTTGAAAAATGAGTGAACGAAATTGAAATATAATCCAAGTAAGAAATATACCTAAAATTTTAATATTTGTAGTAGCACGAAGCTTATTTGTTTGTTATTCAAACACACCTACTCTGTTGTTATGACTCGTTAGAAAGGTATTTCACTTGACCAATATACTTAATTTATTGGTACTGTGTATTTTTAATGTAACCAAACCAAGACGTAGCCTAAATATATAGAAATGATTGAATCTGAAGCGAGATGAAAGTTTTCAAGACAAAACAATCAACTTAAACACTCCTGAACATAAAACGGTGTACCTGACTTTTTTTCGATGAGGTCATTGTCCATTTTTATGATTTTTCCTGAAAAAAACTGTTGCCGGGGGAAGAGATGCTAACTAATTCTTTAAAAAGGTAATAAAAAACTAATTCTTTGAAAGGTAATTAAAAAATAGTTCTTTAAAAAGGTAATAAAAAAGTTCAATCTTTTTTGTCTTTTTGTGGATTGTTTTTCGGAGGAATTTATGCTTATGGTTCATGTGGACCCTTGGCTAAAATGGCTCCGCTATCACCTCAAAATTTACTCTGAGTACAGACAAACCTGTGCATCTGGAAAAGTTTTAAGGCACAGGTTTGTCTATACTCAGAGTAAATTTAGAGATGAAAATGCACCCATTTTAGCCAAAGGGTCCACATGAACATTATGCACAAAAAAAGATCCACATGTATTTGCACCTACCATAATCGACTGTTTTGTGAATATTTGTCTTTAATTTAAACGTTCACAAATATCTCGAGGCGCCATACTGTAATTTCAGTATAAATACGTATGTAAGATGCAAAACATCCTAAATAATGCACCTACATTTTTACTTTTATAGCCCATCGAAACATATGTAAACAATTCACATATACTAATCTTACCATGTTTACTTTTTCTATTAAAGAGTTTCATTTCTTTTGTTTAATTTCAACAGGATATCAGTCTGTTATTGATATGTGATATAAAGATTTAAAATAATGACACTCAAATGAATAACGTAGTATTTAAAGTCACGTTTCTGATTCATTTCCGTGTATTGTAAGTGCTATTATGAATATTCAGATTGATGTACACATCTGCTATAGTAAATGGACTAGCTGGTACAACGTTTTTCTCGGGACCACCACTGTTAGCATCGTTGTGGTTCCCTCTGAATCAACGAACAACAGCTACTGCAATCAGCTCACTATGTATCTATGCTGGATTGGCAGGAGGTTTTCTTATTGGTAGTCAAGTTCTATAATAAATGCGCATAAACTAACTTTTTGTCTTGTCAAAATGATTTAATCAAAATTATTAAAAATGACAGACATGATTTATATAGAAAAGAATATTATTGGACTATTATAAGATTTTATTCATTTTTAAGCTTGAAAATTGCTATTAGCCTTTTTATGACAAACACAACGTCATGAAAACGTATATCTAGAGAATCAAATATGCCAAATCAGTTTCATAACTTTTAAGTACTTTTATGTTGAGTTTTTGGCCTGAATTAAAAACAAAATATATTTGCACTTTTGACGAGCAGTTTAAACACTTAGTGATACGAATTGTGTGTCTTCATTTCCAAGTATTTTCATACTTTAAATAATTCCATGAATTACTTTTGTAGGTCCACAATTAGTTTCGGCACCTATATACAACACAACAGTTAGATATCATAAAAGGTAGTATTTTTGTGTGTTTATTCGTCATCAAATTCCTTGATATCCCTGTAAGACGTTCGGTCAATTAAGATATATAAATTCACTGACACTTTCGCTTATTCATTTTTGATACTTTAATCGAAATAAATTATTCAGTAAAACGGTTGATGACTATTCTTACCTTTTGTAACTTAATTTCTATATTTTTTATTGTAAAATTCATTCTGTATTTGTATAATTCATTCTTCCAATAATTACAAACATAATGAATGTTGAAATTTAAACAAAACACGTTTCGGGTGAAGCCATCGTAGACGACACCCAGTATATGGACAATTAGTAAAAGAGTCTGCAAATTGATATATGTGAAAAATATCTTTGTTAACAAATCAGTGCTGGTGTCAAATTATGGTTCGTCGTTGATGAATATACATGCTGTTGACTTAGACTCAGGACTTTGGGTTTTTAATACGACGAAGGTTCTGGTCCATTCTAAAGACTATATATAAACTCATCAAATATATCAGACTTAACATTTTGTACACTAGACGTGCGTTCCGTCTACAAAAGTCTCATCAGTGACGCTTGAATAAAAATATGTTGGCCTCTTTAACCTTAGGTGGAATTTGGCTATCCCTTCTGTGTTTCTTTTTTAATACAGGTAAACTATTGAAACTTTAATTTGTCATATATCTCATCAAGTATATAAGTATTAATTAGGGATGCCAAAGAGTACTCGAGTATTCGAGTATCGCTCGGTAGTACCGAGTATCGAGTATCAAAACTCAAAATGCTCGACTAATCGGTTTTCTGTTAGAATATTGCTGTCTTCTTTATATAAAATTCATCTTCTTTGAACCTCTTTCGGAAAAATAAATAGTCATCACTGATTAACTATTAAATAAAATACATTTGGTTTCGAATGCTGTGCTAAATAGTTATCAAAGGTACCAGGCTTATAATTTAATACGCCAGACGCGCGTTTCGTCTACAAAAGACTCATTAAATTATCATTAAAAATGCCTCCGAAAATATGAGGGTTTTTACATAGGCTAACACTTTTAACTAAACATGTCTTATCCATTCCGTGACACCGGTTACGTAAGAGCAAATATTTTGGTCTGCAAGACTGTATTTTACAGAGTTGCAAAACCAACTGCCCCCAATAACAGTTGACAAGAAAAAAAATGTTTCCAAATAAAAAAATTCGTTGCATCCTTTGGCGACCCTCAGTGAATAATTAAACTTCTCATCCTTCCGCCTTTGTAAATATTAAATGTGTTTTCTTAACGATTACAACATACTATTGTTTGATATGGTTTATCCTTGTTTTAATTTTTAAATAGGTGTTCATTAAATTGTATTAATTAGATTATTGTTTTTTACTTAATTAGACTAAGTACTTGCAGGTAATGAGCTATTAATTATGGTATGTAATTCCTTGTGCCAGATACTTATGTAGATGGTTTTTCGTCTATTAAACAACAAACCACAGATTGTAAAATACGTATTTTTGTGTTTCTGTGTTGTAGATATATTCCCGAGCGAGTACTCGAGTATCGCTTGATAAAACCAACGAGTGCTCGATTAGTAATTGCTCACCGAGTTGATATCCCTAGTATTTAGAGATCAATATCTTACAAATTTTGAAGTTTCCGTGTTGCTAATGAAAGCAAATTCAGAGAAATACTTCAATTGCACCGAACTTCTACAGTAGTATTGCCATTTCAAATCACTAGGTCAAAATACAGCTGCTTGTGGACTGATAAATGAAGTCACCGAGAGTAGTCGGTACTAACATGATTGGAAACATATCTTTCTTAAATTATCCGTTGATGAATTTCAAAATGACCATGAAACTAAGGTCCCACCCTCAGGCGAAGTTAACATTCGGGAGGATTTTTGAATTTCTTTCTAGGTTCATTTTGATCATCCATATGATCACGTATTCAAGTACTTATACATCCTTGGCGTCCATCATTTTTTAGTTTAAGCGTCCTCGATGAAGTTAAGTCTAGAAAAGCGTTTATGACGCACATATGTAATGAAATGTCATTTATGCGTGTCTTTTTATCGTAAATTGAGTATTGGCTTCTGTTAAAATGATGTGTGTCAAATATCACCGGTAATAAATATTTTGATTACTTTTTTAAGACAGTTTTAAAAAGGAAGAGAATTACAATTAAATGGGATAATTATACTTTTGATGTGTATATGCGTTAAAGGCTAAAAACAATAATAAATACATTTTCATTAATCACGAATTAACTTTTTTGAAGATTTATTGTTTTATCATTTTCAGTGACGTAGTAACACCCATGGTAAATGAGTCGTCAACAATGTCGTACCAAAATACCTATAACGAAACAGGTAGAGATTTTGAAAACTATGCTTTAGATACTTGTTCGCATTCATAAAGGTGTATCTCGAATATCAAGAGAATATCCTAAATGACAAATACTACAGAAAATTCTTGTTTGATACATTTTTTTAGCAATCAAATGCCAAATGCCTATATACTAATCTACTTTAGATTTGTTACTTAGGAATAAAGAAATTAGACAGCGACAAAAATGAGAACTGCTAATGTACATATAACTTCTGACAGATGATAAAAAAAGAAATCCTAGCAAATAACAAAAATGTTTTCACTGAAAAGCTTCACAAAACTGACGATTTCATTTAAAGATAATTTTTGAAAGATTGTGAGAATCTGAAAGTATTTTTCTTATCAAAACTGTCGGTACTATAACAATATGTTGACCCGTCTTTTGGGAACAAAGTTGCACCCTTTCTGTTTATTTGTGTTTCAATTTAAGATTGCAAGTACCCAATGGAGGTTGCAATTTGACATTTTATAGTTTGTTATTTGAGGAGGGTTATTTTATCTATCGAAAGTAACTTCGTCGCTACATGGTACAAAATGAATGCATGTATGTAATTCATCAATAATAAATATAGGAAACAAAATATATTGTAAAAACTCATCAAAGATACCAGGTTATAAATGTTTACGCCTAACGCGGGTTTTGTCTACATAATACTCATCAGTCAGCGCATGAATAAAATCATTTGGAATGCAAAATCAAACACGAAGTTGAAGAGCATTGAAAACTAAAAATTCAGAAACTCATGATTATTATCTTATTTCTAACACTAAATAATTTGATAGTAACATTTTGAACATTTCATTTAGTATGTTTTTAGGTTAATGGAAACATATTGTTTTACTTTCACCCAGGCAAATTTCGTAAGATACCGGTTATTTCGCGCATGACACCTGGATCTCGAATAATTATTGCTAGGTACGGTCGAAACCAAAATGTTATGAAAAAAAAAAATTAACCCAAGTAGTTGACATTATTTCTAAAGCAAATATTACGGTAACCATAATAAAGACTAAAAGGAATTTCTATCGATTGAAATATTCTCAATTTTATTCTTTGAAAAGGGATGATTCAAATTGATTAGATCATTTACTTCTCTGTTTTAGCGTTAGTAAATTTGGAAGAGTTAAGAAACCAGGTCATGTGGTTGATGTATGTTGGTAAGTTTAAGATAAATAGTGTTAATTCAAACTACCTGACCATAAATTTTGTATATGAAGAAAAATACATATAATTTTATTCTGCTTTTTTAGTTTCCTCATTTATATACTATCAATTTATAAGTCTTTTAAAAAGCGTGTTATTTTGAAAGAGATTAGCGAACATCTTTAAGTCCCGATAAAGACAATATACAAAGACCTTACTACAATGCTAAGTTGATGACATTAAAGAATGAAGAATTTTTCTCAACAGGACAATCAATTAACTTGAATCGTGTCTTAATTTTCAAACTTTATATACAAAACCACTGTAAAAATTATGTGATATCCCATTTGAAACAAGGACCTACTTATTTTCCCCATAAGTTCAATGCAGTTTTATCATAATTAAAGGGCAGATTTTTTATTCCTTTTATTCGACTGCTAATCTGAATTACTTTCTCATATGAGAAAAACGTATGAGAAGAATAGCCTTTATAGATTGAATATTTTTATTTTGACATGTTATGACGTCATAGTGACTTCACAGTTGACCTTCTAGATGTAGTTGCTTACAATCTACGTCATTGGTCTTTGTTGTAGAGTTGTCGTATTGGCAATCATACCACATCTTTTTTTTTATATTAAGTGAACAGATTATATTAACCTATTACATTATTTTCATTTCGGTACAATATCCCGTTTAAAGGATGATAGATTGATTTAGGGACTTCATTCATGGATACTGAACCTGTATCCTGTAACTGGTATCCTATTCCATTTGTTATAAAATTTCTACAGGTAAAACTAAACTTCCAAACCAAATCTTGGTACGTATATAAGAATTAAGGTCATTTTTTTTGTTAACGAAATCTCCGATTGAAGGTCAAGATTAAGTAAATGGGCTATGTCACAAAAATAGGTAAAAGCTTGCATTCAACTTTGGCACGTTGAACTATAACTAGAAATAAATAAAAATGCTTTTATCTCTTTTTTTTTTGAAATGTTATTGAATGAATGCTTTCAAAATGGATGCACAGTTACATTGTACATATAAAGTAAATAAAGTCAGCGATTTACCTTCTTAAATTTGTCTCAAAATAATCAAATCTTCATTTACCAATGCGTCGATTTTTCTCAAAAATGGATCGGTCTTTGATGCATTAATTTCGGTTATACTGATGTAAAATAAGGGTCACTGACTTAGTTTTTTTCAGTAAACATTCATAGTGGTAGTCTTGGTAAAAAAATACAACCAAACGTTGAAAAAGGCGTAACGTCATCGCGTTGTAAGCCGTAAAGCGATGATTTTTGTCGTATGTCACTACTTACAAGGTACCAGATTGGTTAATACACCAAACGAAGTCGGAGAGCATATGATTATTTTTATAGCAACCAAACAGAAATTTATGTATCAACAACTTATCAATTTTTTAATAAAATCTATGCATTGATATTTGATGCTTTTGAGACAAATTAAACGACGTTTTTGCAAATTGTATGTGGTCTACTTAGAAATATTCACTTTTTTAAAAAGATATCATTCAGTGAGAGGTTTAGCTAGCTATAAAACCAGGCTTAATCTACCATTTTCTACCTAAGGAAATGCCTATACCAAGTCAGGAGTATGACAGTTGTTTTCCATTCGTTTGATGTGTTTGAGGTTTTGATTTTGCCATTTGATAAGGATTTTTTCGTCTTGAATTTTCCTTGGAGTTCGGTAATTTTTGTTATTTTACTTTTCAGTTATATTTTGGAAAATAAAAAGATAAATGCATTAATTTTATTCGATTTTTAACTTCAACATATCGCTGCTGTAGGCAAAATTTTACAAAAATATGCAAAACTAAAGCCTTGCTCAGATAACTTTAATTGATTTTTTTTTAAAAATCAAGCACTTCAGACACGGGCATAACAAACGTGTCAGTAAATATACACGATTGCTTCTGTTAAAATTCTGTTGTCTGAAGTAAAATCCTTATGGTCATCTCCATAGTATAACTTGAAATTGTTTGATTTTTTAAAGCAAACATATCATCAAGGTAATGGTAGGTGTTATTGAGTTTATCTATTGAATGGAATTTCTACATCTTCAAAAATGAATAATAACATTACATAGACGTTTCAGACGATTCCGTAAATTTGATTGGCTGAGGCATTTCAAAAATTATATATAATTCCCAATAAAATGCAACATAAATGACTGCACGCGATCTCCTTGACAACGTTAGCACAATGTATAGAAAAACAAACAAAATTTTAATTTCACTCGTCATTTCATTCTATAACATACAAATGTAATTTCATAAGAACCGAATGCTTTTTTTTGTAATTCTATAGAGTTGTAAAAGTTTTGAACGTGTGAAAATTTTTATTATGACGTGCTTCCGCGCTTCGTACATCAGGTGCTTCGATCAATGCTTTTAAACCACAATAAAATTACAAAATGAATAAATGAATTCTTCATAACTTATCACTCTCACTACGCGATCTAAAATATTTAATACAGTTGTTAAGCGTGTTTTTAATATTTTTATTGGACCCCCTTTATCAAACTGTTTGGAAACTTTTTAAAATTACTGGATGTTTTTTCGTAAATAACATACGGCTCTAATTATAAACTCTTGAACACTCGTGGACATCGTAATTCAAGAGGAATAGAATTAGACAAAAACATTACAAATGTGGAAACTCGTGTACATTTGTGGTCAGCAATAATTAATATTCAAACAAAATGTATCAACAAACGTTTACAACACGGGTTATTCTATTTGCCTCGGGAATTTAGTACATATAATTTTGTCAAATATATAAATAAGGAGATGTTGTAAGATTTCCAATGAAACAATTATCCACCAGAGTCTAAATGATGGAATTTTAAACAGGTTCAAAGCTAATTGAAATATAGTTATATTTTTATTTACTGCGTGTTTATAAAGTATTATAACGAGAATTTAATCAATTAACTGAAGTGAAATAGATTCTGGTACTCATCCCCAGTTGAATATAATCACACTGAAGAAAATTTCATTTTGAGTTGGCGAATTTTTCTAACAATCAAATTCGACACAGAATTTAACTTTGAGCATCTGAATCTGCACGATGTTTAACGATTTGGTATTTTCAACTTAGCTATCGTAGGCTTCTTATTATAAAGCATATAGTCGCACTTTTAGAGGCTACTCCATTTCAGCAAATCATTTCTGACAAAATAATTAATTACTCTTCGTTTTTAAAAAGCTTTGATAGCCTCACAATTGACTGCTTACTGATACAATCGTATTCATAACATAGTGTAGTCAAGGATGATTTTTTTAGATAGCTGAACCATTTAAATGTGTAATAACTTTTTACAATAGTCAGTAAAAGCTACATGCAAATGCGTTTAGAAATATTTTAGGCCTCATTTGGTTATATAGCTTCTTACGTTTCTACGTATTTATACATCACTGGCTTTCAAAAAATTGGGTTTGATCGTTCCTGCTGAAGGTTAATCCAGAAAAGCGCTTCGGACGCACGAAATTTATAACGTGTTGTTTTCATTTTAACAACAGCTCTTTGTAATTAATTAGTACCAGTTTTTAAAAACCTTGACTTATATAGTTTGATGTTGATGACCTGACATTCAATATTCTTTTAAAAAAAATAAGACTTGACTAATTGCAACGGATTATCTAAATATTAGATAAAAAGTAAAACAACAAAAATACCGAACTCCAAGGGAAATTCAGAACGGAAAGTCCTTTATCAAATGGCAAAATCAAAAGCTCAAACACATCAAACGAATTGGAAACAACTGTCATATTTCTGACTTGATACAGGCATTTCATTATGTAGAAGATGGTGGGTTAAACCTGGTTTTATAGCTAGTTAAACCTCTCACCAGTATGACAGTCGCATAAATAAGATCACGTTGACCCGTTTCTTGTAATAACATTCCCATTTTTATTTCATCCTTTTGATCTTCATTAATTGCTGATCTTAACTAAAATTAGTTTACTATTAGATCTTGAAGTTTCTTATCTTTAACATTTTTTATTGAAAGTTCTTTAAATGAATGCTGTCTTTCTATTGATATGTCTTTGCTATAAGTTTGACGTAGATACTCTAATTTCTTTTCTACTACAAACACAATATATTTAAAAAGAGGTTTCCAACTGGAGACATTTTTAAGTTTCATTAAGAATTGTGTAGAGAATATAGCGTTTCACCCCTTTGTAAATGTGTACATCTATTCTTCATTCCTATTTAAATTTTGGGCCAAGTTTCATACATAGACAATGTTTCTAACGAAATAAGGTCACCTAGGCATAAGTTTTACGGTGGAATGATCATGGAGTAGTTTAATGTTAAAGTCCATATCTAAACAAATAACCAGTCAAATAGGAATGATACGTTACATCAGTGGATACATCTTTGATTAAGATTGTTCATTCAAAAATAAGATCAAATCCTCCTGCATTTTACACATTATTGGGTCTGGTTTTCCATATTTATGAATTCACCAAAACTTGCATACATTATACAGAACAAGACGTCGTACACCAAACCATGGATTTCTTCATTTCTGCTATTATTACTAGCTTTGACTATAAAACAAAAAAGACAGGAGGCCAATGCGAAGAAGGCTACGTTTACCTTTCCATAGTGCTTGGTATGATTGCATCGATGTCACCCTTCTTTTTTAAGCAATTCTGTATTTTGATTTACCTTGATTTAATTTAATTTTCCCATCATACTTTCAATATTTTAGATATTGCAGTCAAAAAATGTCATGACGCAACAGTACCATGTAAAGCTGCTTATATTAGACTCGTTTTACACATGCATGTGATCTGTTTGTTTGTTGTAGAATGTATAGCAGCAGCTGTTGGGTTTTTTGCTATTCTTTTGTATTTTCCTGACAAACCACCAAGCCCACCAAGTAATTCTGCTAATGAGAAAAGAACTGAGTACAAAAAGGCTATTTGTCAAATAATAAGGTACGATTGAATTATTTTTATGCCCCCGCCGTAGCGGTGGGGGTATTAAGTTTTACCCTTGTCCGTCTGTACGTACGTACGTACGTACGTCCGTCCGTACGTCCCAAAATTGGTTTCCGTTCTCTTACTTCAGTTTGCATCAACCAAATGGTATGAAACTTATACACAATGCTTATTATCACCAAACACAGATCAAGTTTGAATTTTGGTGGCGTCACTTTAACCGTTCTAGAGTTATACCCTTTATAAATGGAAAAATTGCAAAAATTTTAGTTTCCGTTCTCTAAGTTAAGTTTGCCACAACCTAATGTTATGAAACTTATACACAATGCTTATTACCACAAAACACAGATCACGTTTGAATTTTAGTGGCGTCGCTTTAACTGTTCTAGAGTAAAATGCTTTTGTCCTTGTAAGTGATGTTTAATATCTTGAATGTTTCTGTTAAATTTATTCAAGAGTTTTGAGGCAGCAGTATTTATTTGAAAAAACAAAATCTTATCGCATAACTTTAATACATATATACCCATCAACAACAGCTACTTTATAAAAATCTCTGATTCAAACAAAAATTCTCTGTATCTAACATTATAAAGATGCTTGATTTATTGATATGAGGCTGAACTTCTTAGGAAGAAAAAGAATAGAAAAGGTTAGCGGTATTCTTAAACTTCACTTTCCGCTATAAAAATGATTCTCTCTACAAAATGATTCAAAATTTGATAAATATGTTGAACACATCTATCCTATCGAACTTGAGATAAAGGATACAACAGATACAGATAAGTCTGCTTCATATCTTGACTCATATCTAGAAATTGCCGATGAGAGTCGGTTGAAAACAAAAGTTTTTGCAAAAGATATTATTTCAGCTTCATAATTGTGATCTTTCCATTTCTATGTAGCAACATTCAAGTAGCACCTGCATACGGAGTATATATCTCCAGGTTGATACGATATTCCATGGCTTGTATTTCCTATCATGCTTTCCTTGATAGAAGGTTGCTGCTCACAAAGAAGCTATTAAACTCAGAGTTCCAAGTGGTTAAGTTGATATCATTCCTTCGTAAATTTTACGGACGCCATGACAAGTTGGTTGACTGTTATTGAATATCTGTTTTTAGATGACAACGGATATATTCCAATTGTCGTAACTACATTGTACAGTATCGAATGTGACCTCCCGAATTAAGACTTATCACTGGGTTTTAACATACAAAAGCAACACGACGGGTGCCACATGTAGAGCAGGATCTACTTACCCTTCCGGAGCACCTGAGATCACCTCTGTTTTCGGTGGGTTTCGTGTTGCTCAATCTTTAGTTTTCTATGTTGTGTTTTGTGTACTGTTGTTTGTCTGTTTGTCTTTTTCTTTTTTAGCCATGGCGTTGTCAGTTTGTTTTCGAATTATGAGTTTGAATGTCCTTTTGTTATCTTTCGTCTCTCTTCTTCTACAGTAGGTGTAAATATTTATTCTGGAATTGCAAGCAAATTCCAATGTCAGATAAATAAAGACCGACAATTTGGCATGGTTATTTTTTTAATTTTGTTTCACTTACTGACGCTGATGTAATATCACTAAGGTCTGTCCATGTTTTATTATTTTTTTCAAGTTTGACATGATTATGATTGGATAAGTTCCAATATAAAAAAAGTACATAATATGGAATAAAGCTAATTTTGCATTTCAGGCACGGACCTTTATGGTTAATCTCAATAGCATTTGCTTTGCCCATTGGTGTATATGCCGCCTGGGGAGCAATACTTGATGTTATTCTACACCCTGTTGGGGTATCGCAGGTTTGTTTGTAAAATTGTTTGAGTCTAGTTTTGAATGAAAAACAAAACGTGAAAATAATTTGCCATGTTATCTATATTGGTTAAGGTATTGTTTATAGAATAAAAAAGGAAAAAAGTAAAATAACAAAAATACCAAACTCCAAGAAAAAATTTAAAACGGAAAATCCTTTATCAAAGGCAAAATCAAAATCTCAAACACACCAAACGAATGGAAAACAACTTTTTAAAAGTAAGCATAGAATTACTCTGTGCATTTGTAAAGACGATTTGAGGATATCAAGACCAAGATAAGCTCAAAAAGATAAACTATTTATTCAATTTTGTTTAGATGTTCCAATTATTTCCATGAAATGTTCACATTAAAGTAATACATGAAAAAAAAAATGAAATCACCAAAAATATTGGACAATACTATAGACCAAAAACAACTACCAGAACCCGACTACTCCAAAAAAAAAAAATAAAAACACAAAAACAAAAAATGAACAGCACATGGTCCAGATATGACTTTTTACATGCACAAAATATGATAAAGTTTAACCAGTTTTACGTGCGCTCCCCCTTTGCCTTTCTAGAACACGTGTCGTAAAACAAACAATAAAAACCTACACGGTGTAAATACCGTTACGATGTCCAACGAATTGATAAATAAATTAAAAGATGGGACATACCTTTTGTGATTTGGAAAGCATGGTCAAAATGTGCTTGGTACCACAGGAAGCTAGGTAATGTAGCTAAAACTTTTGGTTGAATACTGTCGCCAAAGAAGACGAATAATATACTTCATTATTCCAATAATGTCGACAATAGGTACTATTCGGGTCTAATATAAGACGAACTGTATAGATCAAAACCGGCTGCCTTTAAAAGGAGGAGGTATATTACGAGCCATTAATGGTCCCTGAAATTTGAAGAAAAAAACAATGTAAAGTTATTCAAGCTTTAAATTCATAATAAGCTTACTTTTATTGATAATAGATGAACAGTGTGATACAATCCTGACATTTCAGCGAAGAATTGTCAACTGTGATTGCACTATGATGTCATAAGCATGTCCACATTGACATACTTAACATAAAATCACCATGCTACACATATTGTTTTTGGAAAAAAAAAATATGTTTCAAAGCTTTTCCCATACATCTTGTCGTTAAAAAAAAACTTTTTTTTTAGGTATTTCTTGGCTCATAAGTATTAATGACAAGATATCAAAACTATGCTTTTTTGCAGTTTTGCACAACATGAAAAAAGTTGAAAGATAAAATTCAAAATATAAATTATGATATCAGACAGACTATTTATGAACATCTGAAAGATGTTATTTAATAGATTTATAAAACTTTTTGATTTTCGAATTCAAGGGGTAAAAAAGAGGCCTTTTCATACCTTCTTCTTTACCGAGATGAACTTTGCATTTAAGGATCTTTCACTTTGATACACAATTATCGATATTTCATAGTACAACATTAGATGGTTCTTTCATATACATCCAACATTTTCCCATTACAAAGAATCTTCATTGTACCTCAAAATTCTAAAAGTAATAACTTATATATTTTTCCCCCAGTTAAAACGAATCAAAGTTGAATTTTTGAATTTTCAATACTTTTAAGGTCATTACATCGATATTATTTTCAATTCTTATTTAAAGGGCATAAAAAGAAATCTTTTCGCTACATTGTAATATTTTAAAGCATAAAAAAGTTATCTTTTGGTGCAATCAGTATTGCTGATTTTCCAGTTTTAATAAATTGACAAATTAGAAGGATACCTGCCATATCAAACATTCCATAAATGTGAAAATAAAAATGTCAATGGAACAACAATACAACGAATTTAAAGGGGACAACTATGTAAATAACTACAGCATACGGCCTTTAAACAATGAGCAAAACTCATCAAGCCATTTTGATTTGTTTCAAACGAACGAACATGATATAAAAAAATAAATTGATTAGGTTAAAAAAATCGGATGACTGGATAAATTAAATCACTGCTTATACATGTACATATGCATATATATATATATATATATATATATATATATATATATATATATAAATGTGACGTACAGGATATTTCCATCTATATTTATTTCACATAAGGGAATTTTTCCAAAACTCTTTCAATCTTTCACAATTTGCAGTATCGCAACTTCATGTGTGTACATTTGATCTCCGATTTAAAAAAAAAATATTGTGAGATATTGCCCATTACTTGTACTAATCAGATGGCTAGACACTGCAATTTTGGTACATTTTGGCAAATTTTTACCCCCCAAAAAATAAACAAGAAAAACATTCATACCAAAAACAAAATTAAAATTGAGAAAAGAAGTAATACTTGAAGTAAACAGTGTTTTCTTGTGTTAAACTAGATTTTTGAGTAATCTTTTATCTTAATATGTGATAAAGTTAAAAACGACAAATGGCAATCAAACAAGAAAAAGTGCTGTACGCGATAAGTTTTACGTATTATGTTATTTCTTTTAACTAAATTTCAGTTAATATTCCAGTTTTATATTGTAAAACTATTTTAACAGGAAGAAGCAGGCTGGATAGGATTCTATGCAACAGTAGGTGGATGTATTGCTGGAGTTGTGATAGCTAGGTAAAGTGTCTCTTCAACTTCGTACTTTTTAACTTTTTTTTATTCGAGCGTCACTGATGAGTCCTTTGTAGACGAAACGCGCGTCTGGAGTACGAATTTTAATCCTGGTATCTATAATGAGTTTATGTAGTATATTCCATGGCGCTTTGCAAGAATTGAACATGATGTATCTAAACGTTAATAATCTTATTCGTGGGAATTTTCAAGCATGTTCATAGGCTTTTATGAACAGCAATGGGGAACATTTATCGTGAAAACAGATTGAAAAATCAGCACTATGCCATATAAAGCAGTTTTTGAGCATGCGCACATTATAGATAAAGAGAGTTTTAATCTTAAACGGAGATTATTTTAAAAATATAATACAAGTGTTTCGTCTATCTATCACAAATTACATCAACGGTTCGATTGTTATTTTTTGCGTTTAAATATTTTAATATTCAAACCTTTTGTATTTATTTGGCTCTTCGTCTTTTCAAACCGAGACAGTTAATCCAGAAAGAGCCTTTTTGTGCATTTTTAGTGTTTGTTACATTTAATTTAAAATGACAATTAAGAAAAAGAAAAGAAAATCTATTTTTTGAAGTTTTTGATTTCACTATTTCTGCTATTTCTAGCAAAAAAACATATTTTAAAACCAAAATTTGACGGACATATAGTTTTCATTTCAATCGCAAAGTTAACTGGGCTTTAATTGAAGAAAATAATCAGTCAGATTTGCAAGCAGAACATAATTTTTTGCTACGGTTCATCCTTTATCATCATGATCATACATTTATATATTTTTATTTTTATTATTTCTTTCAGATTTTCAGATCTGTTTTTGAGACATATGAAGTTATTCCTGATATGTTTATATATGTGCGGTGGTGCTTCGTTTGTATGGTTCACACTTGTCTGTGATAAGATTGTACCATATTCAACAGGTAAACATGTACCCCGTGAACACTAACTGTCGTTCAAAAGCTTAAAAAAACTATATAAAAAAGCAACAAACAAAAAAAACAAACAAAATAAGCTTTAATTTGAATCATTGTATTTAAAGATTTTAAACTAAGAGCGTACAATTAATTGCCTTCAACAAATTTCTTCTATCAATACGTATCATATTTGTTAGGTTATTCATCATCATCTTCTACATATTGTATTTATTACTGGTCTTTAATATTTGCAGTTCACCAAATCCAATTCTACCTACTTAATTCTGTCTAACTCTTTTGATATATTATATTATTAAATACAATTAATTTCATTCCGATTTTCTGTATGCCTTAGGTTCAACAATCTTATCGCTTTTTTCAAATTTTGTTCTGAAGGTCGAACAGATACTTTAATTTCAACTACACTTGGGTTCATCATCATGGAGCTTATTATTATCGGAGATTTACTTATCTTTAAGCGATTTTAACAAATTTCTATTTTCCATAATGTAATATTTTTTTATTTTTTTTTAAATTTTTTTTTTAGCACAGCTGTACATTTCAAGCATTGCTGGCGGAATATTTTTAAATGGAACAATACCTCTCTTTTATGAATTGAGTTGTGAGACATCTTACCCTATAGCAGAAGGAATAACCGGGGCTTTTTCAACTATGCTGGATAGCATATTTGGTGTACTGTTTCTTTTCGTTCTACAAATTCCGAATATTGGTAATTTGGTATTAAGATAACGTCTCTCTCTCTCGCTCTCTCTCTCTCTCTCTCTCTCTCTCTCTCTCTCTCTCTCTCTCTCTATATATATATAATGAGAATGCAATCCAACGACAAAAAAACCCACAAAGAAAATCCAGAGGGCAACTTACAGTTTTCATCAAACGGCAGAGAGGTTTTTCAAATGTATAACATATGTAAGTCGGGTCTAACCCTTTTCACCATAATTGTTTCGTGTTTATTGTAAAGTAGCGGGGAAAATTGAAACTACCTTTTTGTATTTGAGCTTATTTGCTATCTCACATTTACGTATGTCAGTTATAGTTATTCAAGTATTTTCAACGGATATTTTTGAAAGAAGAAAGATAACTCTGATTTACTTCCATTCAAGTTATACCCTGTCTTTCATAATAAATTATATCATTTCGTCATTTTTAAGTATGATGTATCATGAATACTCTAGTGTCCATGTTAACGTATTATGTGTATTGCAAATCGCTTGTATGTTTCTCCCTTATACAACATACAAAATGAATTCACTGTTTTAACAGGTACAACATGGATGAATTGGTGTCTAGTTGGCAGTATAGGAGCTGGTATTCTGGTTTTATTTATATTTAGAGAATCATACAGGCGAACAGATCTTGATATAAGTATAGTTGTTCAGTCTAGTGACTGTGTCGACAAAAATGACGAAAAAGAGCAGGTTGATGCTGACTTGTTTGATAAAAGAAGCATTTGCGCTGAAAATGAAGAATTACAAAAAAGTAACGGAATGAAACTTTAACTGTTAAAAATAATTTACTTTAATAGTTATACTAAATGTTAGAATATCGGGGTTTAATTAATTCAGCTATCTGTTCTGTGAATTACAGTTTGCTGGTATTGTTTGCTGTTTGTATGCCTAGATTACCGATATTAAAGCGCTACAATTAAGTAAAACAAATGTGCCAAAGAAAGAGGCGGAAGATACCGAATAAGATAACACTATTTTTACAAACACAAATTTCGTACGCCGGAAGCGATTTTCTGAATCTATCTTCATCAGGAGCTCTCAAAGCTAAACATTTCAAATAACATTTTATATAATCACATAGAAACGTTAGGAGCAAGTGAACATTCAAAACTCTTAAGTCGAGCTAAACTGACAACGTCATTACAAAAAACAAGAGACGACGAAAAGTTCACGAAACACTACATAGAAAACTAAAAATTAAGCAACACATACCCCATCACCCCGTGATCTCAGGTGCCCGGCAACATCGTACTACTCATGACAAGTACAGACTAGTTGATGAATCTCAATATGTGATGCTTAAATCGAGAAAAGAGGACGGGTGGTAGTTACGATAATTGGAACATATGCAAGGTTATTCTTAACGACCAACCAACTGGTGATCGTGTCCATAAAACCTTCGAAGGGATGGCTTCAACTTCAAAACGCGTGGTCTAATAGTTTCCTTGTAAGCAGCAATCCTTTATCAAGGGAATAATGATAGGAAATGCAAGCTCTTGAATATCGTATCAACTGGGATATATATACCCCATATGCAGGCTCTGCTGGAATGTTGCTACAAACAAATGGAAAGTTCATAGTTGGAAAGTTGAAATCATCCCTTCTGTTGCAATGTTTTGTTCTCTACCGACGTTTGAGTTCGATGTGATATATGTGTTCAACATAGCCACCAAACTTTGTTTTATTTAGTGAAAGACATCATCTTGATAGAGGAACAGGAAGTTAAATGATAACTATAGCTTAATTTCATTCTACCTGAGAAGCTCTTATATAAAGTCTGTCTCATATGAATAAAGGAGCACGTCGTCAAAATAAGGAGCACAGTTGGTTCTCATAGAAATGCCGATTGCTTGTTGGAAAACACGTCATCCAAAAGTAATATTAGTGTTCAGTACAAAAATCAATCGTCTTGACGATTTCAGTCTCAGAGAATTTTTTGTTTAAATGAGAGTGATTTTTTCAATGTATGATTTTTCCTTCTCTAAAACATGATATTTGTATCTACATTGACCATTCGTTTTTATGAAACAAAGTAGGATTAATTCTATCAATCCGTCTTTAAGTTAAGAATAGGGAATACTAATGAAAAGGGTAGAGAAGCCAAAATTGTGTTATAGTATAATGTTGCAAGAGGAAAGACACTTAGTTTGTATATACTCTAACAAATCTTTGGAGGTTTAAAGTACTAGTATCCTCATTTGACTAAAATCTCCCCTAGAGTAGGTAGTTTCACATCAACTCTGAAGCCCGGCTTTGATTGCTGATGAAATTGAGGTTCATAATTTGGAAAGAGGTTAGTTGAGCACTTTGCGACCCAGCATGTGCATAGATATATTTATATCTGATCATTAATTGGAAATACATGTAGCACTTAATAATTTCAATATATTATTCAAAGGTCTCAATATTGATGACTTCAAGTATAGATACTCCTGACTGCAACTGTGCAGTTTCCGCATTCATGATATTTAATCTGGCTGGCCATGTTACATCTAAATCTGGTGACATTAACACTGTCAACAGCACTTCTTTACAGAATGTCAAAAGACCGCATTACCATGAGCCTCCATTCATAAATTACGGAAATGAATATAAAACTCATATGGGTTATATTGAGGAATATGTTAGAGGAACACAATTTGAAAGAGAAGACATACATATTCTCTTCAAATGGGTTAAAGATGTGAGTACCTTGATATAAATGTAATTAAATTAACGGACATATGATCCCAACTGCCACATCTATCTCAAAAGCACATACCTTGCCAACATGACAAATACATTACTAGTGTTGTTCTTGAAAACAAAGCTTCAGGCAATATCAAGTTTGTGTGTAAATTATTGTAATACTATGCTGAATAAAATAGGTATGATGTAGGCTCCTATGGGCATTCCTCCAAAATTTAAAAAAGCTTTATTATTCTATCATTTCATTTGACGCCAACATTCCATAGCTGTTCTCTTAACCGATTCTGTCAAAAGCTCCATAAAACTTATTTCCTAATTACTAACATCTATTGTACCAGTAAAAAACTTCAAACTTAAAACAAGGGCTTATCAAGAAGTATAAAAAGAAGCTTGCATTGTCCTATCATTCCATTTTTGCTATTTAGATGATATTCTTACGTTGTAGTTTTAAAATTCTCGTGATATGCTAATCACGTCCGTCCCTTTGAACTTCAAGGAAACTATACCATGGATATATGAAGGTCTGCTGTGAACCTTGACTTACACGTAATAATCGATATAATGTTTACGCTGTAATTTTGATAGTCTAAGGCATATATTGAAATTCGAATGGAGGAAAAACTTTCGAAGTCGATGGATCAAGACTGAATGAGGGGTGGGATCAAATCATTTTCATGGAAATGTGATACACCAGTTCTTATTCCATTGTGTACTAAATACTATTGACTCATCGTGCCAGCCACATGTATTATATATCTCGCATCAAGAGCAATCGTTTCCTATACGAATGTCCATAATAAAGAAATAAAAATTACAAGGAAGCTAATGAACCAAGGGATCTCTATGACGAAATTAAAGTCATCATTTGGAACGTTTAGTGACAACATCATGACTTCGTTGATCGCTACTGAGAAATCCTTGCATGAGATGACAAGGGATATGACTATTTAATCATAGCCACAATCCTGTCCTCCTCGTGTATGACGATCACCTTATAAAGCATATCGTCATTTTAATTTGTCAGGTGCGAGTTGTGGATAATCTCTCCGTTTTTGGTTTGGTTCCTATTACTGAATCATTGGTTTTCTGTTTAGTAGTATTTGCGTTGTTTTCTTTTGACCAAGCCGTTATCTGTTTTTCTTCTATTTGATTGATTTTCCTTTTGTGATACCTGTTTTTAATCCGTCATCAATCATTACTGTGAAACTTTCCATGGACATAAACAATATCCCAGATAATTCAAGTCCCACTCTGCGCGATGAACCAATTAACAAAAAGTAACACCTTTAAATTAACAAAAAAAAAGTCCGTAACAAAAAATTTACAATATCGAATATTTACTGCTTTGTCGATGATAGGCATGGAACAAAAAAGTCCACAAATAGTGGTATCGAGCATGTGGTCGCAACTCAATGGAGATTTTTCCTTGTTGTGTTTGATACGTTCGATGTCCCTTGCAACGCGTCGCTTGGGGGTCAAAAGTTGACTCAAGGTGGACCCATAAAAGTTACGTTAAGTAAATCATTTGAAAAAAGGTTTCAAAATGAAGCAAAAATTTCTAATTTGATCAATTTGATTTTTCAATGACGATTTCAAATATGTTTTACTTCAAACGCATTTCAAGGTTTTAACTTTTTAGACGTAGTAATACAAAATGATTTTCCATTTTTTTTAATACACTAGAATTCCAAATACCAAAAAAATCCATATGATCTTTTTTTATTCGCAACCGTTCGTCGATAAAAGCATAAAGTTTTACCCCTTCCGTTTGTTTTTCTTCTGTTTGATAAAGTTTGCTAGGCTGATCAATTTATATAAAAACTATACACAGTTTTTTAATTAAATATAATCACTCCTAATAAGTACATTTTGATTGACTGCTAATCAAGAATTCAACAGAGATATAAGCCTGTTAATTTTGAGACCTTTTCCAAATTATTGACACTGATATCAACGACTTAAAACTTGAATTCTTTTAAATAACCATAATGTAAGTTTATAAAAGCTCGTTTAAACTTTAATATAAACATATTGTCGATATTGTAGACTTTATAGTAAGTACCTAACAAGAATCTTTTCTGTTATATCCTGTGTATATAGTTCAATAGTTCTCAAAGAAAGAGTTTTTACGACATTTTGTTAGTTTTAAATTATTTGGATATATAGCATATCATTTGGTTTATAATTGTTTCGACAGCTGCATTTTATTGCCCGGTAGAGATGTCTTCTCTTAATGATCTATAACGACTTTCGGGAGTTTGTTTTTGTTTCTGTGTCTCGTCAGGAATTTATAGCTTAGCGGTCAGACCATAGCCGTAAAAATAATTAATATTGAAATTATTTGGATAGATACTCAGTCTTCTTGTATTCATTCAGTTTGTTAGAAGTCTTGTCTAACCAAAAATATTGGAATTAATATTACTTCCAAATTAAGTAGAACAGTGTTAAAACAAATTTATATGGATAACCTCAAATCAGTTTCCGAACCTGAAGAATTGTCGAAAGAAGACCAGGAAGGCTCGCCAAATTTACAAACTGTGACCAGTAGTTCGCCTGATGAACTTCCGCATATAGGAAATTTAACAGAAGTTGTTATGGAACTAAGGAATTCTAGGAATTCTAACAACACTAACAGGGAAAATTTTAATATTCCTTTATCGGCGGTGTTTTCTGGGATTCTACAAGATACGCGAAGAAACGGGTTTCCTCAAGTGCACACATCAGATGATCATGTGTTTACTTTTTACAAATGGTACGGTGTTTCTGCTAATTAAAGCGATTGGGGGATAACTCCTACCCTTAACACCTCTACAGCTACAAATAACGTAGTGCCGTCATCGTCTGTGTCGTTCTTGAATATCATTTCACCAGCGCGTAAAAAGCAAATCATAGAAGGCAGGGTCGTTAATTTAGCTGCTTTGTTAATGACAGATTACGAGTCCGTTTAGGCAGTTAGTACTTTACTTAAAGAACTTAATTTGCAAGGAAAAAAGGATATCCGACTTCATAGATCGCTGACTATTAAAAAAGAGTTCGTATGCGCCAAAGCTGCAACTGCACTTCGGGATTTAAAAGTTAAATTTGACTGGGGAGTTAATTGCTCATTGTGTAAATAGCTTTTCAAGCATCTCCTCAAACATATGTTTTTGGTTATTTCTTTTCAACATAATGTAGAAAAGACCATACGTATGACAACAATGAAATACTTAAAATGTTTATACACGTTTATGTATCCGTAATTTCAATAAGGAGGTATGCAGATGTCCAGAGTCACAATCAATGCTTTTTTTTAATGAAATTTGATTATGTTGAAACTGGTACAGATGTAATATATTACTATGTTGTTGTTACATTTACTCAGCCGTACATGTAGAATTGTACTTATTAAACTTAGTACTGAGGAAAAGTAGTTGATGTGTTATATCAGATGCTTTGCAATTAATTAATCATTTACCATGTAGAAATGGATGCTTAATTTCATATAGCCGAGGAACTATGTATATAGTATGCACATGAAACGTACATCATAATTTTCACTGACTTGTTATTTACGCTTGAGATTTGTTTTCCTACTCGTGGTACTTGTGGAGTGAATAATGGTTTGCAGATATGATTGCACGGGTAATACCAATAGTTTGGACGTGTCTCCTGAATTTTCTACATTTATCTTCCAGACAGGTCGTATAATTGTATTTAAAATTATTTTCTACATGAATCCCTTTATTCTGAAAATTGTTGAATAGTATTAGAGATTTTCGCATACGCTGGTTAATAATCGATTTCATATCTTATCCTTACAAGTGAATTTACAGTTTATTCATAAACAATCGAAAATTACTACACATTTATTTTCACTCTATACATTATCATTCATCTGAATTGCGGAACATGATTTATTGCTTCCTAATTGATGTCTACACATATTCACATGTTTTAAAACAGTTTCAAGATTGATTAATGGAACTACGTATATTTTCTACATTTATAGAACATGGAGTCAAAGGCAAAATAACAAACAATTAAAATTATTTTTATAAGAGTTCGTAGAGTTCCATGAAATTCGCTTATATGCATTGATTTTTTTTTTATGTGAATTGTGTTTCTTATTAAATATATCTATTTGTTTATCATTTACATTTTTAATTTTGATCACGTGATTTAGATTGATTGATTGGTGGTTGCTTTACACCGCATCAGCACTAAAGGTTATATCGCGGCGACACGTGATTCAGAAGTTACTCGTAGAATTTCAGATTCTGTATAGCGATGTGCGATATGAATTATTATCAGAAACCGATGTTGCATCAGGTTGTATTTAGTAAACTTTGCACGATACTTTAGAGATCATGATGATTAGTTATTGTCACTCAGCAGCATCACGTTTCTATACTATGCATACAGAAGGCTCTCAGTAGTACTAACATGACTAAGTTACTTGGCTTATTTGTTTTAGTAACACGTACACACGTTAGAAAAGTACCTGATAAGTTGTTGTCCCCTTTGTTTTATTTGAAGTTCCGAGGGGTGTTCATGCCAACTGTTGGCTGTTGATTAATTAATTCTTTATCCATCAAATTAAAAGAAAAAAAATACAAGCATGCTATTTGTACTCTTGTCAAGTAAATTATTGCATTCAAGGTATAATATTCATGTAGTTTTGTGAGATATTATTCCAAAAGCAATTAAGACATGGCGATTCCTTATATCAGATGTTTTAATGTCAATGATACGTTAAAGGGACGACCATGTATTTATTCATTTTGTTTTACTTTATCTTTTTTGGGGGAGGAGGATTTTACGCTGTGGGAATATTAATGTTCACCTGTTGCTATTTTCACTTTTGTACACGATTATTTCCTGTACTTTATAGTGCATAATATCCATTTACATCCTGTTCTTACAAGGCCACCATATTTATTTATAATTCAGCCTGCCCCCAGAAAACCAAACGGTTGTCCCCTAAGACATGTCGCGGGTCATTTGGTTATTGACTCGCCAAGGTAAACGGTATCTGGACAGCTCCATTTCTCACTAATTAAAATAATAACCCCTTTTCGTGTTTTATCTATTATTTCAGATATACTAATTATTTCGTCAAGATAAATAGAAAGCTTGAACATTACGAAATGTGAAATGTGTAGTCTATTTTTATCCTTACCTGAAGTATTATGAAATACACAAGATCAGGTAATATAATTTTTACTTTTGTTTTATAATATTGTGTACGTTAAGTTAACCTAAATGTCCGTTTATATTGATTTGTTTATGTTGAGATATTACGATAATAACTCATTTAGTTGATGAAGACGACCAAATACAAGTACGTACGTGTTCACTGTCACAACTAAACGTCGCAATACGACGATATCAATAATCTTATTGAATGGAAAATCAAGGTTATAAAAGAAATGTTCATTCAATCGAAAAATATTTTAAATTCATGAAAAATCGAATGACCTCAAACATCGCGAAATAATCTATTGTATTAAAACAGCATTACAGATAGACAAAAAGAGGCTGAGGACACAAGGGGACATCTACATTTCATAAGTAGAATGGAAACTGACAACCTCAGCTGACAACCTCAGCTGACAACGCCATGGCAACAAAGAAAGACGACGAAAAGTCAAACAAGTCCAGTAAACAATACATAAAAAACTTAAGACTGGGCAACACGAATTCGACTAAAAACTGGGGGTGATCTGAGATGCTCATGCAGGTAGGGTAAACGTGTTGCTCATAGTACAAATCCGGTGATAAGTCTTATTCGATGATTTCAGAATAGAGGAAAAGAGGACTGGATTGTGGGTACGACAATTGCAACCTATCCGTGGTCATCTGTCATCTAACTCGTTATGGCATCCGTAATACTGTACAGTACAATAGACCACAACAACCGCCAACAACCGACTACTCCAAAATAGACATACAAAAACAAACAACAACAAAAAACACATGGTCAAGATAGCCTGAATTGGTACAGGCACAAATTTGATGATGATAATTAGGAAAAGGGTTCACTTTAATCATATTTTATATCAAATCCTGATATGAAATAAATGTGCACTACCACAGTATCTAAATTTGGAAAAAAAGAAAATTAGGCAAAAATCGAAAAAAAATAATGCATTTACCGTTTTATTTTCTGAAATATTACTGAAGGAATTCTTTAAAACAAAAATAGTGAATATTTCTATATAGACAACATACAATTTGTGAAAAAAAGTTTTTAATTTGTTTTAAAAGCATCAAATATCTATAACTAATGCATAGACTTTTCTAAAAAAATTATATGTTGTTGATAAATAAATTTTCTTAAAAATGATAATTGGGTCGCCGACTTCGTTTGCTGTATCAACCAATCTGTAAAAAGAGAGGCGAAAGATACCAATGGGACATTCAAACTCATAACTCGAAAATAAACTTACAACGCCATGGCCAAAAAAAGAAAAAGATCAAAAGACAAACAACAATACACAAAACCCAACATTGAAAACTAAAGACTGAGCAGAACCCTGCAAAAAACCGGGGCGATCTCGGGTGCTCCGGAAGGTAAGCAGTTCATGCTCCATATGTGGCACCCGTCGTGTAGCTCAGGTAGCAATACATAGTTAGAAGTTTAGTTTTGCATTTTGGCCATGGTGAATTTTCTAAATATGAAAGTTTTTGTACAATAAAATTGATATAGATAGCTGAAGAATAATATAGCCTTCCAAGTGGGTTTATATGAACATCAAGATTGTTTTTTGCATGTTTTAAAGCTCATTTTTTTCTGTTTGACAGTCCGTATTTTCACATCCGTACCGCCCATAGGTCCAGAAATTATTGTAGTGTTTTTCAACAAAGATTTGTCCCTCGAACTTTTCAATTCAATTTTATGGAAAAAATGAGGTGAAATGCATTTGATTTTTTTTTACCTCTTGATAGATAAATGTCTATGGTTTTAGAAAAAGTACCACTCTAATGGATTGAAATTCTTCTTTGGACCAAATTTTGGGGACTTTTGTGACATTTTCAACCCCCTTTTTGCAATATTTTGTATCAAATAAATGCAGATTGTTGCCATGGTTACACCAAAAAGAAATTATATTCCACCATTTTAACTCTTGGAAATCAAATCTATGGAAGATGCTGTTTCCATACATATGCACACCCATAACACAAACATTAAGCCTTATTTGTTAGAAAGCAAGGGAAAGAGTGTTGTTAAAAATTATGAGTGTCAATTTTAAAGTTTTTTTTCCTAACTATGTATTTCTACCTCATGTAAGTACAAACCCGGTGATAAGTCTTATTCGGTAGGTCACATTCGGGGAAAAGAGGACGGGATTGTGATTACATATCCGTCGTCATCTGTGAAGCAGATATTCCATAACGGTAAATCAACTCGTGATTGCGTCCGTAAAATTTTGAAAGGGTGATTTCAACTTCACCTCTTGGTTTGATAGCTTCCTTGTGAGCAGCAATCCTCTATATGAAGGAAATCAGGATAGGAAATATAAGCCCTGGAATATCGTATCAATTATATGATCTATCGGATCTTAATAAATAATGAATATATCAAAGGAACTGCGATAAAATTGCAGCTCCTAGTCTTGAAAGTTGACGGATAGTCTTAAACAATAAACTTTGAAATTCTTACCATGTAGCAAGATCGAGTAAGATGACCCATAAGGCTGACTTCAGCGGTACTCTTTGATATGAATAAAGATTCATGCTACATGTCTTTGAATGAAAATATGCGGTAGTAATCAATAAATCACAAAAACTATCCAAACTTTGCTAAAATTTTATTCACTGAAAAAAAAAATAATCAAAACAACTACAAACAGACAATAAATCACAATATATCATCAATAAGTCTGTTGGTAAACTTGAGACAATGGAAAATAAAATTGAAATGGACATTAGTATGTGCCTGTTACAAGACAGGAGCCTGTAATTCAGTGGGTGTCGTTTGTTGCTGTATATGTTTTGTGCCTTGTGCCTTGCTTTACTGTACATTACAGAACAATGGTAATACATTTTTGTAGTAACAAGTTAGAAACTGTCACTTTTTCAGGTTAAAATGGAGGAATTACCAGATGATATCATAGTTGAAATATTTTCTTTTCTGCCACACAAACTTTTATTGTTAAATATGAGACGAGTTTGTAGACGTTGGTATTCCTTGTCCCATTCTGCTGACTTATGGCAGACGGTGGACCTAACTCTAGATTTTAACCAGACGGAAAAACAGGCAATGGTTTCTAACTTGAAGAGGGTACAAGATCATGTTAAAATTTTGAAGGTTGATCCACGTTTATTACAGACAATTTTTAAAAACGACATTTGGCAGTTTCTTACTCTGAAGATACTCCATTTGAATTCTTTATGCAGAACAACAGTATCAGTATTAGGGGAACCAAACTTGCGTTATCCACGGTTAGAAAAGGTGTACTTTTCGTCTTCTTTAGACAACAAACTCGTTCTGTCAGCATTTTCTGGATTGAAATTGGACACATTTGAATGGAAGTACAACGGACCTTTCCAGCAATTCCGCGAATCAATTTTGGCATTGGGAAAAATGGATAACCTGCAAAAAGTGAGGTTGCACGTCAACGACCTTGACAACGAGCTGCTTAGTTACCTGTTGAAAAACTGTCATACCTTACATTCGCTTGAGCTTTATTTCTTTAATGTAAATGTTAAAATTGATAATGATGCATTCCTATCCCTTACAGACAATTGTTCTTTAACAGAACTTGGACTACCAACGACTTCTATAACAGATGAATCACTCTATCATATATCACAGACTTGTCCATTTCTAAAACTAATTAATATCAGTAATTGCTTTAATATCACTGATGTCGGAATAAGACATTTAGCAATGAACTGCATTCATTTAGAAAACTTGTATATTGGCAATATACCCAACTTAACAAATTGCACAGTGCAGCTCGTTTCTAACAAATTTAAATGTTTAAAAGTTCTAGATATGAAGCAATGTATGGGCATGGAAAACATTGGAATCGCTAATGTTTTTAAAAAGTGTTCAATGCTTATCAAACTTGATGTTTCATTTTGCCCGAAAGTAAATTCCCATCTATTGTTACCCGACAAAATCTGGACGCCGAACGTGCCTTTAAAGTTGAGGGAAATTAACTTGAGTGGAAACAATAATATAACAAGCGAAGTAGCTTTTCGTATCATAAAGTTATGCAGTTGTCTGCAATCTGTTGCACTGGCTTCTTGTCCATCTATCCAAAGCATCGATATAACAAGCAACAAACAAGGGATGTCAACTGCAAGATCAGATGGCAAATGTGTACAAAAACCTCAGAGGACTTACCACTCTCATATGAAATCAGTAAATTTCATTAACTCATTCAATGTTGAGGATTCAGTTGTTATTTCAATGTCATACATATGTCCAGATATAAGGAATTTGAGACTGACTGGTTGTAAGAAACTTACAAAGAATGTTCTTGATGTTGTATTCAGAAACTGTCCATTTATTGATTTATTAGAAATAGCTAGTTGCATATTTAGTAGAAAAGGATATATAAATACTGTAACAATATAAAACAATATGTTTTTTTTTAAGAATTGTGTACAAGGACAGAAAAGAAAATTACAACTATTATACAATTATTGTCTTTTGATGAGTTAAATACGTGGTTTTATTAACTTTGAAGACATTATATTCACTGAGGCCAACAACCGAAGTGAATATTAATTTTTCAAAAGTCAATTAAACCACATATTTACCGAAACAAAAGGCAGTTATTCTTTTATTCCTTATTCCGATAGAAACAATGAATTTAATGACAACTATTTACTAAAACCAACTGTACACCAAACATTTTATCATAATTATATACATGTAAAAGCACGTGGCATTTACCGCGGTAAATATCACTTTTATTCAGGTGAATATGCTATTTTATCTAAAATCCAATCCATATAGAAAAACCTACTAAAATTATACCAATATTAAGTAAATGTAAATAAATAAAAAGCTAGTTAACTTATACATAAATACCCTGCCACGTCCGATCTGTGTTTTTGTTCCTTGTTTTTCTGCTTTGAGTCGAACTGTGATGTTCTTTTTAACATGATTTTCATAGGTTGTTCATATGTTGTGCTGTTACACCACTGTCCCATGCTAGGGGAGGGTTGGGCGCCTGCAAACATGTTTAACCTCGCCACATTCTGTATGTGCATTTCCCAAAGCAGGAGCTTGTAATTCAGTCGTTGTCTTTTGTTGATGTATATCATATTTGCTTTTATTTCATTGTTTTGTACATAAATCAGACCGTTAGTTTTCTCGTTGGAATGGTTTTACATTTGTCCTTTCGTGGCCTTTTATAGCGGACTATGCGGTATGGACTTTTGTTCATTATTGAAGGCCGTACGGTGACCTATAGTTGTCAACTTGTATGTCTTTTTGTCTCTGGTGGAGAGTTTTCTCATTGGCAATCATACTACATCTTCTTATTTTTATATTATACAGTATTTACCATATACATCATTGACATATTAATAAGATCATCTTTAATAAATTCCTTATTTTAGCATAATTTAACAGAACATACTTGATCTTCAATCCAATGGAATGAACGTATATTGAATGAATCATATTCGATTAACTTATGTTGATGTGGAGTGGTAAACCATGTGATCCTAATACTGTACAATACAATATTTGTGGAGTACGTCTTTTTTTCAAGTATCAGTATTAAGTTGATAGGCAAATGGTTTTAACTGTTAAACAAGTTTGTTGTTAATATTTGACCATTATTTACAATATTTCAATTTGTTACGAAATTGGTTTTTCTGTCGACTTTTCTTACAACATTGCAATATTATATCCATTATTTTTCAGTAGTGTCAACCATTCTTGATTACTGGTCGTTTAGTCTAAATAAGAAACTACATGTAGTAGTATGAATATTACAAAATACAGAAAACAATAGTAGTTGTCTAATTTCCCACCTCCCCCCCCCCCCCCCCCCCATTAACTGGAAAATACTAGAAACGTATGCAGTACTGTTGGACTGAGTTGTAATAAACAATATATACTACTACTGCTACTGGTATATACTTGTTCATATCACAAGTTTATCAACCATGTCCTCTTTATGAGATATATTTGATTTTGAAAGTATTACCTGTTATACAATATTTCTGAATGTTATTATACTGATTAAAATTATGATTAGAAAACATGTATTTACACATTATTTATAAAAGAATTTAGTAAACTCTCATTGATTTATATGGTTTTGTCGGATATTGTATATTTACATTTTGTTTTTTAATTTAAACATTTAATTTTTTTATTTTTATGGACAAATCAACAAGTATAATGCAATAAATACGCTCCTTAACACAATGGGCGATTCTTTTTTAACCTATTCGATGGTAAAATTATACCTAGGGTATGAACTAAAATACTGGCCTTTTGTTTGAAAGGTTTAATGAAAATGCAATAAGTGTAAATAAGTAATTGTTGATAGAATACTGTTTATAACTTTGTTTGCATAGCATCACTTTCTATTAGTTATAATAATGGAATTTCAGTTGAGATCTGTAGTATTACCATGTGGAGATTCAGCATCAGAATTGGTAGAAAATCCGGAATTAATTGATATGACAGATATAGTTTTCATGCTCATAGCTCATTTCGCCAAGTTATTCAACAAGTACAATAAAAAAGTGATCTACGTAGCCAGAATATGGATTGGCTATATAGTAGATGGAATTGAAATAGTTGCTATAAGCATTGACCAAGGAGGAATAAATTTTGAAAGTTGGTTCGCAAATTTTCTTTTCGGAGCATACTTATTAGCTTTAGTGGTGTTCGTAATTTACATTACATTTATTGAATGTTGTTCAAAGTCTTCATTATCAAGGCATTGGATGAAGATATTTATCATTTTTAAGCTTTCGTCGTTTGTGAATGCTCTTTTTATCTTCATCTATCCTATCGTGATTTCAGACAGCCATTATCCGTTTTGGGAAATAATTGTGATGATTATCGCCGCATTGGACATGTTGTCGATCTTTATAATATTGATGCTTACGATTTTTGTAATGTGTAAATGTGTTCGTCTCAATAAAGTGGCACCAAAACAAACGAACCGGAATACACCAAAACCAACCAACAAAAGCAAAAATGCTACTGTTGTTAAAGGAAAAAAGAAATAAATTAAATATCAACAAACTTGTGATGACAGTGGATTAACAAAATTTGATACAAGAATGGTAGATTTTTCCATCGCCAGGCCATTTTTATAAACAACTATCATCTTTTTGACAAATCGGCTATTTAATTATATCTTTTTGAGTGGTTTCATCTAAACAAGAAACACTGATAAACACTTCCAATAACATTTAAGTAGAAAATAAATCGTCCCTCTCCTTGGATCGAAAATGACCGCAACTAATTGGTGCAGGATTTTACAAAGATTAGAAAATTTTAAGCGGAAGTACAATTTATATGCAGGATTTGTCATTGAAATAAAATAATTCGTAAAATTTTATCTTCTGGTATTGTTTATTTTTCTAAAAATAAAGATCTTTTGATTGATTCAAAACATGTTCTTAAATTTCTCCGTAAGGGGAGATATCTCAGAAAATTTGTTTTTATTAAAGAATGTTCAGTATTTGATACAATAAAGGTAGTTTTTTTATATGCCAGGCAATTGTCATAACTGTCAATGTTTTGCCAGATCTCCTCTTTAATGCCGTGACTTCTAAACAAGAATATTATAACTTTAGGTACATGATTTTTTATACAACCGCAAATTGTTTTGCGTCCGTATTATGTTATTATAAGTTGTTATTGGCTATGAACTAGCTGCGAGCACTCTCAGATATGTCCTTTGTGTCTACTTTTGTTTTTAGGGATGTATATATATCCTCCAACGTCCGGTCCACTTTGTACCGATCTGATAAGTTTAGCCTTTTTCAACTGATTTTTATAGTTTGTTATTCGTTTAATGTTTTGCATAGTTGCTTCGCATCACGGTGCGGAGCTATAGGGAAAACGGTACTATTATATTTTCCCAGCATTAGGTTGGTCTTTTGTGTACCCAAGGCAGGTGAAGGAAGTCAACTTAGGAGCGCTGTGATTGGATGTTAGGGTACAATATATTTTTTTATTTATCTATGAATAACTGCAGTGTGTATATTTACAATATAAATTTTGAAACCTATTGAAATATTTTCTAGAGAATTATTCGAAAAGACTTCAAAAATTTCATAAATTTGGTGTAAAATGACGGTGGGCATGGATAACATTAACAAGCTCCATTGGAAGTTGGTCATGATACTATTTGGCTTCAATTTTCAAAACAGAATAATAAAGTACTAACACCACACATAACTGTTTTATCGGGGTTTTTATTATAAAAAGTGGTAAATTTAGAAAATGTTAGTATTGTCGCCTATGGCAGAATAAATAGTACCGTTTTCCCTATACTGAAGATAGCAAGGGAAATCAAAATCAATCCGACTTCAGTTAAAGTATACTATTTTGAAGCTTTTGGTTAGTACATTTGATTTTTTTTACAAAGAATAGAATTTTTTCACTGAGAACAATACTGTGTTGAGAAAAGTGCTGAGTCATCATAATAAGTCAAATTGATGGGTACTGATATAAAACTTTATTCAAGGATTTCAATATTAACTATATTGTATAAAATGCACCAAACTATAGTTCTTTTGTATTTGTTTTCACCTTTCGCAATGATTAATTCAATTGGAAACACCAGAATTCAAGTCACGACAAATATTTTTAACTGAAATATTTGCCTTTTTTGCTGTGTAATTCCCTAAATGTATCACTTGGGTATTTCTGTAGACATAATCTATTCAAATGGGAAATTGTCTGGTTAAGTTTATACTGTTTATGGAGTAAGGCAACATTTGGTCATACTAGAAGCATTTTCAGTGTTAAAATTGTCCATCTAAGAAAAAAAGAGGCCCACTTGAGGCTAAATTTAGATAGAATTTATACTCTCCTGTGTAAAGAATTGGTCATATTCTTGGCAATTCATGCAGCAAATATTTCAATAGTGCTTCATTTTGTAGTTTCTATCTTTCATTATATCAGGCATATATAATATTTCATTTTCTACTGTTTGAAAGGACTTTTGTTGGAAATTAATACTCCCAAGGGACATAATTCAGCTTTTTCATAGATTAATACAGGCAACAAAGGCAACTTTACAGCTGAGTATTTTGCATATTTAATGTTGAAAGTGTCTAATATCTTTGTTCTCACCATCTCAAGATAGAATAATGGATTTTATAACAAGCTCTGAAATTTTAAACCACAATATGGCATATACTAAAGCATGGAATGGAGATTAGTATGAAAAATCTTGAGTTTGTGCTTATGTTGTAAATTTTGGATGAAATGAATACAAATTGAATGGAACTGTTATTTTTATCTGTTTAAATGGAACTGTTTATTATTCTTTTTAAATAAGATAAGATATGATTGGATACAGGTTGTTTATTAAGCCTTATCTGAAAGAAGTAGAGAAAGAGGTAAACCAGCATGTAGGTGTGGGGACATTAAATGATCCATGTTTCTTTAAGTAATGGGAACATACAAGTATTTATTATAGCCAAGGTTTTCACAATAACCCAGTATTGCATTAATGGTGTCAAAAGAATTCTTTATATCTTTATGTCACAGTATAGGGAAAACGGTACTATTATATTTTCCCAGCATTAGGTTGGTCTTTTGTGTACCCAAGGCAGGTGAAGGAAGTCAACTTAGGAGCGCTGTGATTGGATGTTAGGGTACAATATATTTTTTTATTTATCTATGAATAACTGCAGTGTGTATATTTACAATATAAATTTTGAAACCTATTGAAATATTTTCTAGAGAATTATTCGAAAAGACTTCAAAAATTTCATAAATTTGGTGTAAAATGACGGTGGGCATGGATAACATTAACAAGCTCCATTGGAAGTTGGTCATGATACTATTTGGCTTCAATTTTCAAAACAGAATAATAAAGTACTAACACCACACATAACTGTTTTATCGGGGTTTTTATTATAAAAAGTGGTAAATTTAGAAAATGTTAGTATTGTCGCCTATGGCAGAATAAATAGTACCGTTTTCCCTATACACGCCATCTTGAAATACTTATCACATATAGATTCTGATTGGTTGCTTTATGATGCGGCTGAGATACATCAACAGCTATTGGCTTAAATGAGATAAAGAATTACAGACTTTTCTCGTCTCAGGATAAGACATCAAATGCCGGAAAATTAACTATGTATATTTCAGTTCCGATCAACTGTAATTTATTCATGTTCGTTTTATTATGCATATATTGCACACTGAAATTCAATATTGAAATATCAATTATTAATACGTGTTTATTTGCTTTGTTAATCTGCAATATGCACGATTTGTTTTGCTAAACAATGTTCCTATACAATGTTTACAACAATGCATTATCTGTATTTTATAACTTCTGCCAATCTAGGCACACCTCCAGAGAGGCACACCTCCAGAGTCGTGTCTATTTATAAATGTTTTAATTTTCAACAAGTATCGTGAACAAAATTTTAAAAGCATGGGCGTATAACGCACACTCTTAAATTAGAACAACATCATTTTCACTGAAACTAAATATTTATTGCATTTTATATCAATCAATATCTAAAAATACCACATTTCCAATACTAAATCAACAACCACATGCACACATATTACCTTAAATTAGGATAGAGCGAAGCAGTCCACAGCTTTTAAAAAGCTCAAACTTGTTTATTCGTGTGTTCTGCTGTTTCACCACTGTCCAAGGTTAGGGAAGTGTTGGCGCCTTCAAGCATCTTTAACCCCTCCGCACTCTGTATGTTCGTTAGATGTTTTCTGCTTTGCATCGATCTGATCAGTTAATCCCTTTTCATCTGATTTTTATAATTTGTTCTTATGTTGTACTGTTACCCAGGGGGAGGTTTGGCGCCAGCAAATTAGTTTAACCCCGCCATTTTCTATATGTGCCTGTCCCAAGTCAGGAGCCTGTCGTTGATCTCAAGATCACTATGATATATGAGATGTAAACACTCAATAAAATTAATGGATTCACAGGACATCATTAATATATCTGAAAGTGAAATTGAACAACTTTGCAGGAAGTTTTTATAATTTTTTTAGAAGATTTTGCATGAATTTTACTGCATATGAGTACAAAAACAAGTCGACCAAACGAGTTGCACAATTAGTACCCATTGGAATAACGACTGTATGTTGAAATATCAATTCACCAAACAAAACAAAACAAATATGTTAACGATCAAAAAGTCCAGCATTTTGATGATATCATATTCCGTGTATTTGCTTTTGGAATTAGTGCGCTTCTTCACAAAAATATGTTTTATGATCTAAAAAACATTTTTTTTCTACGAGTCATATGACAAACAAATGTGCAATTTGAAGAATCCAGAAAGTATGTAAAAAGTAAAATAACAAAAATACCGAACTCCGAGGAAAATTCAAAACGGAAAGTCCCTAATCAAATGGCAAAATCAAAAGCTTAAACTAAACACATCAAACGAATGGATAACAACTGTCATGTTCCTGACTTGGTACAGGCATTTTCTTATGTAGAAAATGGTGGATTGAACCTGGTTTTATAGCTAGCTAAACCTCTAACTTGTATGACAGTCGCAGAAAATTCCATTATATTGACAACAATGTGTGAACAAAACACAAAGACATAATAGGTAAAAATGTCAAAAACAAGGGTACAGCAGTCAACATTGTGTTATAATCTCAATCATTATAAAAATCAAACAAATATGTTAACAAAGAAAAACAAAAAGGCATATAGACATAGCACATTAGCAAAAACGAAAGACAGGAATACAAAAATTCACCACAGAACAATAACACAATGAAGGGATGTATAAGTACCGAGCCACGTCAAATGGACACCACCAAAAATAGACTAAACAGTAAAAGCAACAATTTATAAAGACAAATAAAAGAACACTATAACACATAATTAAGATGATAAACAACGTCAGTACCTAGAATCTATACTTCAAGCCCATCGTGTATGATTTGTTAAGTTGATACGGAATATTTATCAACAAGGTCTTGGTATCTTCCGATGAACTTTTTTAGGAAAAGGACGAGACGGTGAACGGTTCTTTGACATAACCCTAGTTCATCAACTTTCTGATCAGACACTGGTGAAGTTTTACAAAGGCTGAGTAGCAGCTGCAAGCTCTGGAATACCGAATGAGTTGGGAAATGTATATCCTATATGCAGGTGAAGTTGGTATATTGCTGCTATAGTGGGGGAAATTGATAATTTCAAAATTAAAATCGTCTCGTTTGTCATAGATTCTGGTACTGAGATGACCGCTTGTATCAAATTCGAGGTATAAGTCTAAAAATGAGGCATAGGAAGCCGTGTCTTTTGTTTCTTTAATTTCTAGCTCTAGAGGATGTATGAATGGAACCCAATCAGAACGTTTGGATTGTTAATTGAAAGTACATTATCAATATATCTGAATGTGAAATTAAATGATCTGGCTTCTGTTCTTTGATCTTCTTGTTTTTGACAAGTGTCTGAAGGAACTCCGACTCATATGAAAATAATAAGAGGTGGGCAAGGAGAGGCGCACAGTTCATTCCCATAGGAATGCCGA